CCAAAAACCAGGGGCTGGGGACTTAGCTCAGCGGCATAAGCACCTGCCTTGCAAGCAGGCAGTCGTGAGTTCAATCCCCGGTACCGATAAAAATGAAAAAGACCAAAAAAAAAAAAAAAAAAAAATTAAGAGTTCCCAAAAACCCTCTAAAGATTTTCAGAGTGTGCCTCATAGATCCTCTCATCTAAGCAATAGCATTTCTAAGAAGCTTAAAGACTTTGTCTTGGAACCAGCCACGGTGGAACCCAGGCGGCTGCACAAGAAGGCCCACCCTCTTGGTGAGCGCCTCCCTCGGGTGCGAGCCAGGAGGAGACCCAGTCAGCAGCTCCTGTGAGCCTACCTGCGCACGGGCTGGAAATCAGACATCCCAACCCCAAAACCCACCCCCCCACCCACCACACCTCCCCGTTAGCAACTGAGGACAGAGGCCTGAGCATCTCTCCGGGAAGATAACCATGTGCAACACAGCAAACATGGGGGATTCCCTTCCATCTTCTGTTTGTAGGTAAATGTTGTTTCACTACGATTGTTTTACTCTATTCAATATTCTCCTTTGAATGGGTTTTAATGTTCTGTGTTTGATTTGATTTCACTATACCTAATTGGCTGGACAACTATTGTGAAGATAATGAGATATACAATGGTACCTATTACTGTTATCCCGGTATCCTGCTGTGAAGCTCTGTATCAGTCTCGCTGCATTGTCTTGATTGGCTTTGTTCTGTCTTGTTCTATTGTATTTTTACTACCTTCAAAATAGAAATAAAAATAAATTTTAAAAAGACTTAGTCTTTCATCAGAGGTACATTGTAAAAAAGTCATATACCAAAGAGATTTATAGGTATAGTTTTGTCTCATGCACTGAAACCCAACAAGAGTCAAAAAAGACACACAAATTTTTGAGAAAAACTGTCACCTGGACTGAAACCAAAAAAGTGCAAAAAGGAAAGAGGGCTTTTGACTACCACATTTCTACCAGCAGGAAGCTAGCTTGGAAAACTATTGAGGTGCAAATATAGGCTACCATTTTTGAAAAGAGGGTGAAACTAAGAGGCCAAAGGATGAAAACACCATAGATAATTACTCTGAAGTGTAGAATGTGGATTTGCAAGTCTGTATCTAAGTAGTTCCTCAAAAAACTAAAACTAAAGGTTCCATTTGACCCAGCTATTCCCCTTCTATGTATCTTCCCAAAACAGTTAAAAGTATCATACCACAGCAACACACGCACACCCATGTTTATAGCAGCACAATTTGTAGTAGCTAAATCTTAGAAATAGCCCATATGTACATCAACAGATGAATGAATAAAGAAAATGTGGTTTGTGTATACAGTGGAGTACTACTCATTCATAAAATAAGGATAAACTTGAGACATTTTTAGCAAATGGATGTATCTTGGGAACATAATTTTAAGTGAAATAAATTAGACATACATGCTCATTACTACATTGTTTCTCTTCTGTGAGAAAGCTAAAGGGTAAATAAGACCAAAACAAAAGATAGATATTGGTAAGAAAGAAGAAAATATTCAAAAGGGAAGGGGAACAAGGGAGAGAGCAGGGGAAAGGAAAAGAATAGGAATTAAAAAATAAATAAGAATGGAAGAACAATATTTTTGTAAATGGAAAGAGGACAAATGATTAAAGACATGGGAGGGGAATGAGAAAAAAAGAATTAAGATATATTATGTACAAGTACAATTTGCTATGGTGAATGTGATCATTATACATGTCAAAGTGCACTAATAAAATTATTTTTTTAAAAACCTGTATCTAAGTGGTTTTTAGAACTGCTGTGATCACTGACTTTTGTGCACCACCTTTTTTCTACCTGTTGGAAAAGATATGTCTATATCACTTATCCGTTCACCATTTTACACTGGTTGTTCTGGGAAAGGGGCATGTAACTTCTAGGTTTAGTTCACAGAATTTCAGATTGAGGGGTATGTACTTAAATAGCTGTGTACAAGGAATTACATCCCCAAGAAACTCCATGTGCACCTATTTAGAAGATTATATTTGAAACTCTGAGTTGAAACTATATCTAAGAATTTGGGACTGTAAAAGGATTGAGATTATATTGCATGTGGAAGAACTACAAATAATTTGGAGGAACAAGATAGGCAGTCCTACTTAATATATCAGGCAAAACAGAAGTGTGAAATTTTCTTACAAAATTCTTTTCAGAGACAGTGCTACAGAATAATTACAATTAACTTTTTACCTAAAGGCTCTTAAATTGTCTAAATACTGCTATCTATGTGTGGTCTTTGGTTTTTGCCAGGAAATACATAGCTGTTAAAAAGTTTTTCCTCTAGCCAAGGGTTTCAGAGGTTGTCACCATAACATTAACAGCTGCAAGGAAGTCAGCTGTGCTCCGGGCCTGTTTATTTTCCTTTCACATACAAACCACTAGGCAGTCACAGTGAGTGCAGTTTTAAATTTTTAGTTAATAATATATCTAACTCTAATCATAAGCTTCTAAAATTTCCTACTTGCTTGTAGTAGCCAAAGTAAACAAATGAGAATACATATTTCCAAAAATTTATTGTATGACAAAATTTAATAGAATTACTTTTAAATGGTTTAGTTTGCAAAGAATATGTTATCAATCCATTGTATCATTGTGAAAATTGTAGTGTAATTCCAAATCTGCCCGTAATTGGCCTTGGTGATATTAAATTACTGCAGAGTTGAGACTACTTGGCCAAGAGTTAAAGGATTACAAATGTGGTTTGACATATAAAATTCAGGAAAAGCAAAATTCAGCCTACACTCACCAATATTTTTTCTTTTTCCTAGATAGTTCTCTATTTTCACATAAGGTCCTCTTTTTTTTCCTGAAATATTTAGTTATCAGCTAGCAAGACATATATTTTTAAAAACAATGAATCCCACTAGATATCACCATAAGAGGACTTACTCTACCTCTACATAATCTTTTTATGATATTATGTTCAAAAATGTATATTACATAAAGAATTAAAGACTTAAAGGTAAATATATGTTATTAAGGGCCTGTAAATTACTTCACTTTCACACTGTCAATATAATAAATTGAAGGTCAGGTGTGTTGGTACCTGCTTGTATTCCCAACACTGGGAAACTGAGGCAAAAAGGTCACAAGTTCAATCATGGTCTGGGCAACTTAGATACTTAGAGATCCTTTCTCATAAAACAGGCCTGGGGTGTGCCTCAGGGAAAAGGCCGTGGGCACAACTGAAAAAAATTAAACAGCCTGAAATAATGTTACAAATTTTAACATCATATTTTGTCATCATATAGGATCATTAATGTATAACTGATTTTGATCCCAAATCTTGGGAATAAATTCTATGACTCTGTGAGGTATTTTTGTTTGGTTTTATTTTTTTGGCCTATAGGTTGGTATACGTGAAGTTTTCTTAGCTGCCTGCCACATATTCTGTTAGGTGATTATCTGTCATTACTGCTGCTGCTGCTGTTTTTCCAAGACTCCAATCTATTACATTAATTTTTCACAGCAATCATTTTGGGTAATCTCAAGAAGCCAAAGATTACTTAACTTGGAAATGAATCAAAAATATTTTTAAATTCTGTGTGGGTAGATATTTGGTTTTTGGAATCTATTATCCAAAGTATGTTCCTTAACAGTAAAGGAACTCTGTTGACTTACCGACTTTTTTCTAGGTCAGAAAGATACATATGTGACTCCTTAAATCAGATTTTCTAATTCAGTGATCATCATCACTTGCTATATAAAAATATCTTGGACTGTGTAAGAAAATGGATTCACCTTCAGACCATAAGGTTAAGTAAAATAAATCCGACACATAAGCTTAACTATCACATGGTTTATCTTATATGAGAAATCCAAAATATACATAAAAAGCAAAATAAAACCCAAAATATAAATTAAAAGCAAAATAAAAGATAGACACTAGGAAACAGATGGATTGTTTTCAAATAGAAAAGGAAAGAGATGAAAAAAGAATCGAGATACATTATAAACATGTATCAACTCACCATGAGGAATGTATTCAGTATTACTGCAAACATGTAATAATAAAAAATAAAAATTTAGGAAATAAGTAAAAATGTTTTAGTCAATGACAGACAGTGTACATGGCAGTGTTCCACTTAAGATTATGCTAGAGATGAAAATTCCTACTAGTGACATCACAGCAATCACAATGTCATGCTCACATGTAATATATTGCTCACATGTAGACAAGCCTGATTTGCTAGTAAATAAACTATAACACATACAGTTATGCACAATGTATAATATATGACAATGATAATGAACAACTGTTACTGGTTTATGCACTTACTGTACCATACTTTTGTTAGTGTGCTTCTTTTACTTATTAAAAAAAGGTTTACTGTAAAACAGTGTGCTGTTATACCAGCAGCATCCTCATACATCTCATGCTTACTGCATCTCTTGATTCCATCAAGAGGTCACACAGAGTGATGGACCTGTACCGCCTAGGTTTGTGTGAATACACTCTGTGATGTTTGCATAATGAAATTGCTTTACTCGCTTCTCAGAACTTATGGCTATAGTTCTGGGATAGGACCTATCAGTTTTTATTCCTAATGCGTTTTCAGGTAATATTAATATTGCTGGCCCTAGGATCACACTTTCCTACTTACTACCTGAAATAAAAGTTGTGACATATAAATGGTCCTATAAATAATTTGTCATTAAGCCTTTACCAATTTATGCTTCCCAAGATAGGCAATGTTGAAATCTGTTCTGTTGAGATTGCACAAATTCCTAAATTTTAAAAATCAAATTCTTAAAACAGTAATATAACTTACTCACTCTGAAAATCTTATAAAGTCTAAAGAAAAGTTTTGGACTCTAAAACTAGCTTTGGTTCCCACAGTAGTCATTATTCTGCCATATTTGGAACCTGCTGTTGTAAAACAATCAATTTTAAGGTAGTGACACTTTTTTATTTCACCCAAAGGAGACAGAAATAACAACACAGAAAGTACTGGACAGGCCAGTTCTTTTTGGAAAGTATATTTAATTCACTGTAGCACAACTCAAACAGAGGAGGTGGTGAGGAAGTCAGGAAAGCACTTATACAATGTTAACCAGGAATAATTAAAAAGAAGTAAATATTTTAACATCATAGATAGTCTAGGAATATCTGAGAGGTAAAGAACTGACTCAATGCAGGAACTTGTCAGTAACATTCAGTTTCCCATTATTGTCCACAGACCCTGAGACTGGACCGAAATCACCTCTAAAATGGCAGGACACAAGCTTTGCTTTGTGCTGCCTGATGCCAGAATACTATTCACACGTCCATCCTACATAACACCAAAAATGACTTCTATTCGCCGTTTGGTGAACACAGATAAACAGCTGTCCCCACATACTGACAAACAGTTCTGGTCTTCAAGAGCTATGAGCCTCATCCCAGAAGCTCAGATAAAAGATTTATGATTTTTTTCATCTTTTGATCAAGCTTTCTTATAGTTTCTTCACATAAACCATCTTATCTAAAGAAAACGCCAAACTACCACCCTCATGCCCAACTACTCCTCTCATGCACTCTGTATCATTAGCCAAAGGTTATAGTTCAGTTTCTAAACTCCCTGGGTTTTTGATCATCCTTTCCCCTTCCCTATTTATCCCTCTATCATATTCCTTTTTCCTAAAGTTAGGGTAACCCATGGGAAAGACAACATTCAGTCATTGGCCTCATTCTTAATTTTGAGGCTTATCCTCAATGCTAATACCTGGGTGAACTACAGTTCTTCCTACTAATTTTTCTTAAAATAGGAATGCAAATGTTTACAAAGGGAGCTAGGAAATATAACAAAGTAGAGCTTAAGGGCTTCATCAGAAGACAATGCAGCTAACAAACGTTGGAGCAGGGGATCTAAAAGCAAGTAGGATGTGACTCTCATTGAGGAATATGATGGAGAATGACATCTGCGGTTGCAAAATTAAAGTCTCTTAAACTTCTCAATTAAAAACTAGTACTATCCCACAGAACCTTTTCTTGTCAGTGCTGGAGATCAAACCCAGGACCTTAGATTTGTATGCACTCTACTACTGAGCTTCCCAGGCCCAACCATCACAGGATCTTGAATGCATGTTTCATGGCACAGTGAACCCCAGCATCTTAGAATGTTGACAGTGAAAGAACTGGTCTGACTGGTGCAAACCCATCATTTTTCAAACTAGAAAACCGAGTCCTGAGGAAAAGCAAGTACGCAATGTTGTAAGTAACACTTACTAATTAATGGTAAACATTCTTGAAGCTGCAGCATTAAGTCTAGAACTCAGATTTCCAGTCAACAGGCCACTGCTTATAGGCCTTTTTCTTTTCCTTGGGCAGTGGGGCTCGGTCTTTAATGTTCGCTAAAAGTCAGTACCAATAGAGCAACTGCTCTTGCCAGGCCAACAAAAAAACCGTCCTCCTCAGGAAAGTCCAGCATATCCATATGTCCATCCCCATGGATTTCTAGGAAGAAACAGCCTCTTACAGACCCAGCAGTTGGGCAGCAACTTGCCACCAATAATGCTCAGTAGGAGTGTTTGGCTCCCATCCAAGTCTGTGTGGGTTTTTTAAGGCTTTCTTTGTCATCAAATAAAATTACAAATATAATACAAGAATGTTTATATACATGTTCCATTAGATCAAGAAAACCTCATCATGATTTCAGGTACCCCAGTGAGAGAAATAAAGTCAAATTGCATTTGTGACCTCTCAGATTAAAGACTTGTTAAAATGAGGTTATCCAGCCCATAGAAAAACAAATCATTCATGCTGATATAATTGCCCTAATTCCATCCTGGCCTTTATGTTCAGCAAACTCATGCGAATGACTTCTCCACAAAACACCCAAGAGGTAGGTAAATGCAACCACCCTCATGGAAGGACGTAGCACACAGAGGCCCAGAGTTAGGCTGCAGAGATGTCTGGGACAAGGCATAGAAGGTCTGTAGTGGAGAGTCAGACCTCTGGCTCTAACCATAGCACTCTCCATTGGAGGAACAGCATCTGGACATGAGAAGAATTCCCATATGCAGCAAATATCTGCAACAGTGAGGATGTGGAAGGAGGCAGTAAAAAGATGGTGCTAATCTAAGGCTGACACTTCTAGAAACCTCCAGAAGACAGCTGCCAAATGAGGCAAATCTGAGGAAGTATGAACTAGAGGATACTAACACAGGCCCAGGCCATGCATGACCCCTGAGCAGCCCTGCGAACCTCACTCTCAAAAGATCAAAGAATTAGGTATTAAAGACTCCCTTTATTAAAGAACCACAGCTAGACTGAAGCAATAGCAAAAGGCACAGGCAGCTCTGAGAGTTCAGCTCTTCCCTGACTCACCCTTCAGCATAAGGGAAGGGAAAGGAGACAGAATCAACTGGGCTGCGACTCCAGTAATTCCTACCATCGATGGTAAGAGTTGGACCCAAAAACCATAAACTTACAAACACAGGATGGAGCCCAGGGTTACTGTACCTTCCTCTGGAAGTAGAGACCTCCGCCCTGTCCTATTCTTCAGGGACAATGACCTGGCAGGGAAAGCTGATCTCTCACTGAGGTAATAAACACCTGCTCAGCTCCATAGATTGCCCTCAAGCTGAGCAGAAAAATCCCTGTGGGGGCATCCTGAGGACAAAGGCATTCTGAAGACAAAAGCAGACTGAGCTCTGCTTGGGGAGACAGTACCAGTTTTAAATTACACATTTCCCCACATGCAACACACACATACACACGCAAGCACAGAGCCTCACACTTTCACACACTGATATTCTCCCAGCCCACCCCACTCCAGGTCCCAAATCCCACCCGCAAACACTGTCCTCTGTAAACACAATGGCACAGACGCCCACTGTCGTGGCATAGTCTGCTAATGATCTGAGGATGACTTCTTGCTGTTAAGTGCCCCGGTAGGTGATATTGGTGAAGGTGGATGTGGCCTCTTTATAGAGTGGGTTGTTGGCCTGTGGAGAAAACAAAAGGATCGCTTACAGTCAACTCCTCAGTTCTTCCTTACCTGATTTATATCCGCTGAAATAAATTTTAATTTCTTTTCACCTCATCTGAAGGGCTTATTTCATCTAAAAGTTTTGCCCAACACATACCATGGACGAAACAAACACATTTTACTCATACTTTTGCTTTTAGGGTCGGGAAATAAGGAGAGATATGGTGGCCCTCTCGCTACTATTTCTAAGGGTTAAAAATCAGCCCGTGTTTTTATTATTTTTTTCAGCCCTCTTTGGAGATTCAAAATATTCTACATTCTAGGATAGCTTTTTCCCAGCCTCTCCTGTTTCTTTCCCTGTTCCCCACTTTTTCTGTTGCCTTTCCCCCATTTTCTGTCATTGTGGTAATCAACACTGGAAGATGTGGGCCTGAAACAGAAATGTAGCAGGTACAGAGGTCAGCAATTGCTGAAATAATTCTTAATTTGTTTTCATCTCCTCTCTTCAATCACTACCTGCACAACTATCATGGTATTAAGAAAAAGGACAACAAAAAATTGACTAATTCCGTAAGATCAAGTAGTCTTTGATGGCAGCTTCAAGAGGCCCTGCACGTTTTTGTGTGCCTCAGAGGTTCAGGACGTTGTACATGGCCTTTATGGAGTTCTTGGGTACAAAGCCCTTGAGAACAAACTTTCAGCCTAATCCTGAACTTGCAGGAAATTAAATGGACCTTTAGAAAGTCCAGTGAAAGAAGAGCCAAAAAAGAATAGAGTAAAATTAAATATATAAAAGTTTCTCAACACATGCTTGTTTAATTGAGAGAAGAGTCTGATTTGGAAGCTATTATGTCATCATTCGAAGAGAAAGATGAGAACATGATGGATTAACATCCTGTCACGATTTCTAAGAGACTGACCTAAAATCCCCAGTACCACACAAAAAAGTAATTCTTCCAGTTACCTAATTCCCTCCCACAATGAGGCAAATTACTTAGTTTCTCTGCATTCAGTTTCCTTGTCTATAAAATATGAAAAAATAATACTGCCTACCACATAGGGTCATTATAGTAATGAAATAAATTTACATGTAAAAAGCATTTAGAAAGAGTTTCTGGTAAATCCTCAGTAAATGTTAGCTACTATTTTACTATTTATATTTAATGCTTTGGACTTCACTAATGTATGTTCATTATATAATGTATGTTCTCAATGTAGGTTTACCCTGGCTCCCTCAAATGGGAAAAAAAAATTTCTTTATTCATTTCTTCATGGTGTTAGAACAGAGCTGGGTTCTATTTCTGTTCAATCAGTACTCATGACGTAGCCCTTGAGCACTGTGTCTCTGTGTGGTGGAAGACCAAATGGTTTTCAGGAAGCTAAAAGACAATAGAACACTCAGACCATCTCCAAATTTCCAGAAAAGAAGATGAACTACAATACCAGCTATGCCTGGGCACCCTCAGCATCTGCTGCTTCCTCTTTAGACTCTTGAATCAAACAGTTAAGAAAGCACCCAGCTCAGCCCAGCCTCTTACTGTGTCCCATTTTGCTCTGGCTCGTTCTTCCTCAAACTTGGCAAACTCTTTCCGATCGTGGATGGTGATGAGGAGCTTCCAGATGAGCAGAGTAGCAAGACCAATGAGCAGAATGGCCCCCATCACTGACATCAGGACCACCAGGATGTCAGGGCCCTTAGGACACTCTGTCAGGAAGAAAAAAGCAGAAACCACTTGAACTGGCTAGGTACAACGTCTTCTTGACAAAGAATAAAGAATTTGAAAGATTTCTCAGGAGGCTACAGTAGGAGGATCACAAATTTGAGATTAGCCTGGGGAATTTAGTGAGACCCTGTCTCAAAGTAAAAAGAAAGGGTGGGAGGACAGGGATGTAGCTCAGTGATAAAGCACTTGCATAGCCTGTGTGAGCTCAGAGCCACATTCCCACAGAGAGAGACAGAGAGAGGGAGAGAGAGACTGAGAGACAGAGAGACAGAGACAGACAGACAGAGACAGAGTCAGACCAAGGAAAACAAGTAGCAATAGCAGGAATCTAAAGTGATTGCTGCCTGGATTTGAATCCTGGCTTAGCACTGACTTCACTATGAGTTTCATCAAACTGACATTTCTTGGTGTCTTCTGTTTCTCCATCTTTAAAATGGAGAAAATACTCAAACTTACTTTATTACTTGTTACAAGGAATAATTAAATTTATTTACTCCAAACAATGCCAGACACAGAAGAAGGGTTCAATAAATATCAGCTACTGCTATTACTGGTATTCTTTTTTTTTTTTTTTTTCATTGGTACTGGGGATCGAACTCACGACCGCCTGCTTGCAAGGCAGGTGCTTATGCCGCTGAGCTAAATCCCCAGCCCCTATTACTGGTATTCTTATACCTGATCTTTCATTAATCTATTTAGCTTACTTGGCCCCTGTAGGCACTTACGGTTATTTCCCTGGTTCCAATATTTACATCCCTGGGGACTGTGAACCTAATGACCCTTTTTAGCATGCTTAGAGACCAGGAGACCTGCCAGCTACAATATTTGGAGTTCTTTCCCAGAATATTTAGTCATCCAAAGTACTAATGCTGTTAACCCCAGTCAACAACCAAAGCAACAGGAGCAGTCCACCTCTGAGGGTCAGCCAATTATCCAGAACTCTGCTTCCCATAAGTGTGAATTGTTTGACGAGTGACCTCACTCTGGTAACAACCTCAAGGGTTATGAAACCAGGTGTTTGTATATATGGGTATTGACGAGTCTAGAGAGGAAGTCACACCCACGTTCCACACTATCTCCCACCTTCTTCTCTAAACATAAACCCTATGCTCACCACATACTACATAAAAACAACCACTACCACAAACCAAGCTGATTATTTCCCAGCCCACCAAACTGCAACTGTCTATAAATAAACGAGTCCCTGGAAAGGAACCATAAAGTTCTAAAGTCTATATTCCCAGGAATGAAGAGCCCCAGTTCTTCTGGGAAAAGTAATTACGAATTCTTTGAAAGATTTGGATAGGCCTGGCCCTTATATATCAAAGTGAGTTTCTTCAACTCTGCATGTTAGTCTCAACAGGACAGATAGAGTCATAGGAGGTCTTTAGGAAAAATCAACTTGTTACTTATCTGCAACAACAGGGGTATTGGCAGGGTTCCTCTGTGTTTGTTTTAGCTACAGTGGTGGATTCTGGAGTGATCCAAAGTCAGGAGAGCCCCCGTAGGGTTGGCAGACTTAGCAACAAAATTATTCATATAGGATGCCCAGATAAATTTGATTTTCAGATAAACAACAAGTTATTTTTAGTATAACTATGTACCAAATATTTTACAAAACATACTATATTTTATCTGGAAGCCCTATCTGGGATTAAAGAGGCCCCAGCTCAGGAACCCAAACTATGTGGCTTATCCCCATTTGACCAATCCTAGCCACTCTCTTTACTGCCCTAGAGGGGCTCAAAAGAGCATCTGCAAAATCATGAGTTGAGGAAAAGAACTATATCCTTTTCTCTGGGCCCCCAGCTTCTGCACTCCCCTGAAAGCCTGTGGAAAATGGTTCAAGATAGGGAGAGAGAGAGAAGAGGCAGAGATGGATAGGAAATGTAGGTCTGTGATAGGGATACAGCATGTCTCTAGTATGACAAGACCCTGAGTTCAATCCTCAGCACTACGAAATAGAACAGAACTGTGGGTCTCTGGACCTGGGTCCCAGTCCCTCCTTGCAAAAGAGTCTACTGGTAGAGACCTTGAAAGTTATCTACCAGAGTGTATCTGTACTTCGTGGGTTATCATTACCTTTTCCCCCCATAACATTAGGAAGTAGGTTCCAGTCTCAAAATCCCAGGCCAAAAGATTTGGGTAAGTGATTCAGAAGGAACACCAACCAGCAAATTGTTCTAGCAAAAGGACAAAATAGTGCTAGACCCAAAAGAAAAGAAATAAGAAAGGACAAAGATACAGGAGAGTGAGGATGAAAAAAAAAAAATTCATTCAGAGAACAAGGCCACACTAGCAAGCAAGCCCAGTCTGGGAATCAGCACTGTGCATAGGCCACTGCCTGACTGGGAACAATTAGACCCCAACCTCTTCCTTTGAGCAGGCTGGCAAACAAGAAATACCAGTTGCCCAATCCCACCACCATCTCCTCTTCACCCCTGCTGTAAACAATTGGCTTATCCAGAGAAACCCAGGCTGTGACGATAGCTATCGAGGTGAAATGCAATTGGAGGCCTCTGGTGCTTCGGTGTTTCACTAATATTGCAATTCAGGGGCCAGCGGTCTGATCACAGGTTCAGAGGACAGCAGTAAGCAGTGTGGCATCTAGGGGGCAGGCATTTCCTTCTGAGGGTTGTAGCCATTGTTGATTTCTTATGGTCTTGTTTTGAGGTCCTATATCATTTCCATTGTTTTGTTGGGTCAGGTTTTATTCTCTTTTGGTTTGTTTATGTTAAATCCGATGGCAGGAGAAGCTATTTCCAAGATAGCAAGATATATTATGGTAGCAATTTTGGATTTAGTATTGGCTTGTTTTGAAGTCCTTTATTGCACTCATTGTTTTGTTTTTATTGTTTCTATTCTATTCTGTTCTGTTTGATTGGTACTATGTCTGAAGTTATCTGCAGCTATTTTGAAGACATCAAAAGGCATTATGGTAACTATTGTTGATTTTGTAATGTTTTGAAGTCCTGTATCTCTTACACTGGTTTGTTTTGGTTGGTTTTATTCTGTTTTATCCTCTTTAAAATAAAATTTTAAAACATTAGAAAAATATTCATTCAGTGTGTTAATGTGGGTGGATGGACACATATGAAGAAGTCATGGTCAAACCAATCCATGTCTGCTTCCTGTCAGCTTTCCTGGAATCACTAAATAAAATTAAGGTCATAATCCTTTATATACCTTTCTTTTCCTATATAAACAGTGAGGGTTCTAGGAAGAAGTGATAGACAACATCCCAGATGGGGACACTATACAATCCTGTATGGTGAAGACAGCAACACCCTGAGTGACAGAGACGTGGCAGCCTTTAGGGAGACCCACACAAAATGGCTCCTACAGGCTTTCCTGCTCCCCCTTTATCCCCTTCATGCCTTCCTTCCCTAAGCCAAAATTATCCTACCAGATACCAGGATGTACATAAGCCCACTTCTTTCCTGGGACTAATCAGTTCTCTAGTTCATTCAAACCTCATCTATTCAACACCTTCTTTGTAGATTACTAAGTATAGAGATATAACATTAGATAAAATAGACATTGCTCTTGAATTCATGGAGCTTAAGATTTACTGAGCAGATGATTAAAGAAGCATTTAATTCTGGCACAATGAAATCCCTTCTAAAGGAAGCCCAGATGCTATGTCAATCAAACAAGTACCACACCTTGTCAGCAATGGAAGCTGGAGGAGATCTTAGAAGGTGAAGTAAGACATCTAAATCAGAAGCCCTCAAATGGCAGGGTGTAGCCCAGTTCCCAGGAGCACCAGGAAAGAACCCAGAGATGTTAACTTGTGCAAGTAGGGCAGTGCTCAGGATGTTTTTAAAAATTAAACAAAGCGTATTACAGAAAAGATACATATCAGGCTACCTCACAGGCAGAGCAGATTAAGAAGCAAAACAGGCTGCCCCATCAGCAGAGCAACCTTGAGGGAAATACAGCAGAGTCAGCTACTCCAAAGGCAGAGCAGCCCAGCCTCAGGAAAGAAATTGTAAATTTGGTTGCCTCAGACACAGAGTTCTGCACAAAGGAGCCACTTCACTTTTATGAAGTCTCAAAAGAATGTCGTTAATTGTTCATGGTTTCTTTCAGGAAAGGGTGGGGTTTTCCAAACCAGGTGGAATTTAGTTACTATGCAAGGGCTCTGGGTTTTTTGGTTTTTTTAAAGAAGAGAACATACCAAAGTTTGAGAACCACTGCTCTAGAGCAGGGGATAGTAATCTGTAGCCCATGAATAAATGCAACCCGCCTGCTTCTATAAATATAGTCATGCCCATTCATTCATATATTGTCTATGGCTGCTACAATGGCACAGATGGGTAGTTTCTGGCCCTTGGTCTAAAAAATGATTTCAAGAAATTTCTATTTCTGTAAATGTCAAGAGATCAATTGGTTTAACCTCAAAGATTGTTCTCATAATCACTCCCATAATTTTTTGTCCACCCCCAACACTGTATAGCCTAACCCATCGCAATATCATGACTGATTTATGGGTCTGTCTCGCATAGGGCCTGTGAATGCCACATCTGCCTTACTTAAGTCTTAGCACTTAGCACAGTGTCCAGTATATTCAAAATTATTTTCTAATGGTTCACATCTTAATCTGTTGTTTAAATAAAGAAAAGTACTACGATTTGGTATGATTTGAGTATGTCAGTATGACAATGTTCAAGAAGAGATGGAACCTTTGAGAGGTGAGTCCTAATGCAGAGTAAGTAGGTCACTTCTCTCAGAAGGGACTAGTGTAATTCTCTTGAGACCCTCGTTAGTTCCCTTAGTGGAGAGCTGTGATAAAAGGTGTGAGCCTGGACTAAAAGTATAGCTAGCTCAGTGGCAGATCGCTCGAGATGGGTCCAATATCTAATAACAAATAAGTTAATACATAAGAGTTACCTGGCCCCTGAATTATTTCTCGTCTTATCCCGTGACTGCTCTCTCCCTCCCACACGTTTCCATCATGATGCTATCTGTTAGACTGTCATGTAGCCAAAGGAATCCTCACCAGAAGCTGTACCAATGAGTCACCCAGTTTTGAAACTCCAGCCTCCAAAACTATAACGCAAATAAACCTCTTTCCATTATACATTTCCTAGCGTAAAGCACTTTGTTATACAACAGAAAAGGAACAAAGACCAAGGCTAGGAGGATAGTAGGGGAAGCAGAGTCTACAGTATTGGAGAGTTGGTCTGTGTATGGTAAGATGGATTCCTCCTGCTTCCAGAGGGCTTAAGATCAAGCAGTATCTTTTCACTGGTCAAGGCAGCCTTGAGTCAAATCCATCCCTACATTCTGCTACAGACTTGCTGAGGTCAAATCTTCCCACCATCAGGACTTCCTCTGTAGTAGCACACGGGTTCCTCACGGCAACCATCTCACTTACAGTGGACCATATGCCAAATGCTATAAGCTCCTACAAGTCACAATTTGAATTCCTGACTTCTTGACATTATTACCTCAACAAAGGTCACAATATTTTTTTTTCTTGATGATATCTATACCTACCTTCTTCCTCTCCTTATCCACATTCTTGTTTTTGTATCTCCTTCATTAGCAAGTCACCTTGGTAAAACTTCTGTTTTCTCCTCACTATGAAGATGGCTCTCACCATGAAGACAAACTCTTAACTTACAATTTTTAAGGCCATGCCTAACCTGCTCTGTTTAAGAGGGGAAATATGCAGAAATTACTGCCTAACATCGTTTTCTCTCCCAGAGGCAAGGATGGGGCTTTGAGTTCACTCACCTGGTTCTTCTATCACATACAGGATGGACTTCCCACTGGAGTCTTCATAGTACTGGAATCTGACAACACAGTCTTCCTCATTTTTATAGGTACAATTCACTGCATCTTTTCCAGAGTCCTCTGGAGTGCAGAAGGGCAAAATATGGAAAAATGAAAAACATGTCAATTTCTGGAAGATGAAGTCTATTCAAATTCCTATCATTGATCTTCTGGGAAAACATGGCAGGAAACTCTGTGCCTGACATTAGTCACGATGCCTAGATTTAAGATAACCATCATACCTGGCAGTCACTGGCCCTCACTAATATATTTTGTTCCTAACAGGCCCATTTGATTCTTATTCCTTCTTCTAGAAGGGACATGCTGTGACAATATTATGCATTCTGATTCGAAGCCTGTGTCACCACTTACCAATTGTGTGATCTTGGATAAGTTATTTGAGCTCATAGAATTTCTTCATCTACAAAAGAAGGATTATGCCTCCCTTATAGGGTTGATGGGGAGTTAAGTTGCATAAAATAGGCCCTAACTTACAGTAACCTCTAACCTTAACCAACTTTTCTCTGCTTGCTCAATAGTTTGTTTTCAATAGTTTGCCTAAGCAGCCCTTGGAGTTTTACCATGTTTGTTTCTGATCTGGTGTGCCTCCCTGGAGCCATCTCTCCTCTCTGATTCCCATCAGTGTTATAGATCTCGTTTCTTCTAACTCTAAAATTTGTTATTCTGCCAGTGACACTGTAGATTACCCTCCACTAGTTACACTACGTCCTATACTGCTGAAATCAGATGGGCAAAACTAACACAAACTGATACACAAATGAGATGAAACACAAGTGTGCCAAGATCATACAGCAGGACAAAAACATGAGCTTCAAAGCATAATGAACAGAGATAAGTCAAAAGACCACCAGTACACCGGTGATATTATAATACAAAGAAAACAGTAAAGGTTTGGGAATTTAGTTTTCATCTCAATGTACCACTCTCTTCCCTGCGCAAATCAATTCTCCTGAAATTCAACTGTCTCATCCCTAAAAAGTAGATACCAACACTACCACAGTTCTACTTCATTAGGCTGAGACAAAAACACATAAGGAGCAGGAAAGTTACTTTTATAAATTTCATACATATTTACATTTATATTTATGATTAATCTGGTGGGGAAGAGAGTGGGAGTACTTATCAATTAACTCTTAATACTTGCTTTATCTAAAAGATAAAAATATCTCACCTCCGTGGCCTCTCCACAGCTTCTCCTCTGAGCTAGTCATAGAAAACTTAGTCTCCTCCAGAAAAAAATTGTTTCTTCAAACAATCTCCAAATCACCAACCTCATCCCAGGCCTGCTTCCAATATCAGCTAAAGGTCCAGAGATCTGGCTCTTTTCTGTAACTTTCTCCCCAAAAGCTGACTACCTGCTATGCCTTATTGTGGCTCTCACTGAAAGTATGATTACCATCTCCCTGTCACCATCCAGTGTCTCACCAGCCCAGATAATTTATCTGATGTGCTGACAATAGCAAAGATTATCTTCTTTAAAGTCAAGCTTTAAACAAGAGAAAAAACAGACCAGAATAATTGTAAGCAAGAGTTTTTGCTCCCCAGAATCTGTCATTTTATGTTTTTATTGTGGGGTAGGGAGGTCCTGGCAGGGGAAATGCTAGAAAGTCAGAGGGCTTCAGGATAGACATTTTGATTACAAATTCATAAGAGTGAGGGTTTCCTTCTAAACCATCAAAACTTTAAGCAAAAAACGGGGCACTGCTCACCATTCTTAGTCAAGTAAATTTGGCAAATCCATACCAGTCAACTAAGCTAAGACAATGACAATCATAGACAACCACTTTCCAGTTCTGTTCCTCAGTTTCTTCTTTTGTAAAATGAGAGTACATTTCCTTCCTTTCCTGGCAAGAGGTGAAGTAAGGGAACTGAGGAACACTTTATTAGGGGTAAAGATGAACTCTTCAGAAAGCCAGACTTCTTCAGAAAGCCACGTGCCCAAAACGCACCAGGCTTGCTCTGCATTGCTGGATATGGGAATCTCTCTTCCATTGCATAGATGGGAGTTGAATAGGTTCTGCAGTTGAACTGGAAACATTTAGAATCCATGTTTGTGTGACCCTCAGACCTGCCAACTTACTGAGCTCTTTCACAGGCACAATCTCATCACGGCAGTAACGGTTGCAGGTCTTGTCCTCGAATAGGACTCCTCGGTCAAACTTCTTACACTCCACGCACTCCCTAAGGGAGACAGGAAACACCAACGGAAGCAAAGAATCAGAAAGAATCCCAAGCCCAGCCCAGTCCAGCTCCGACCTCCACACATAAAGAAAGCTGTTCTGCCTTAGTAAAATCAAAACATCCATAGTGCGGAGTTCAGAAGTGGGGTACCCCCCTCACCCACAGAGGACCTGGCAGCCAGAAGTCCCTAGATCCTCATTAAACTTCATTATATACCATCTGGGGCTGCAACAGTATAGTAAACCCCACACACCTCTGGGAGCCTTAAAGTCATAATCAGTCACATGTAAAATGAAAATTTTATTCAAAAATTACTAAGAATTCAAGACAGTGACAGTAGACCATTTAAACAAGCATAAGGTCTTTCCAAATATGAAGTCTTATACAGCTGTGCAGGTTGCATGCCTGTGGACCTAGCCATGCTTAAGACAGTAAGAGGAATGGCAAAGCCACAGACTTGGCTGAAAGGGGCCTGTCTAATCCCCACGCGAGTGAAGTTTGCACTAGGGAAATAGCCTTGTGTCACATAATGTGCTCCATAACTCCAATCCTTGCATCTCCTATAGGATATGATCAGTCCTGGCATATTCCAGAGAATATCTGGTTTAGCCTTCCAACTCTGAGACATTCAGGATGTCACCTACAAGAGGGTTTGTTCCAACTAGAGACCGGTTAGTATCACCTTGGCCCTTCACAGTTGGCACTACTCCAACTTTACCAAAGTTTTTGCTGGAAAGGGAAAAGAAGCCATTTGGCTGGAGCAGATTCAGAAATCTTCAGGGTTGAGGATTCTAGTGCAAGGGTTCTAGTAATGTTCCAGCTCCCATCCTCCCTCCACTTTCCAAATCACCAACTCACTTCTTAAAGGTGCAGGCGTCCGGGCAGGTGGGACATTTCTCACAGGTGTCCCCATAAGATCCCGGCTGGATGCAGACACAACTGCCACATTCACACTTGCCCCGGCCGCTGCACAACAGCCCGTTGCTGGACATGCAGGTGTCAGTGCGTGTGGTACAGTTACAGTAGTAGCCAGTCCAGTCAGAATCACACAGGCAATCCCCACAGCTGCACTGGCCATGGCCTGCAAGCACACAGCTCAAGAAGTGGGTAGGATGACAAGGACTCGGTCCCATGACAAGCCACAAATTGTCACTATACTCTCCCAACCAGACAGATGTTAATCCTCCAGGTTAGTAGAGAGCTTGCTTACCCCTTTCCAAGGGGACAAACTCAAATTTCTAGGTGTCTCAAGGTGTGACAGGACTTGATCCAAATCACCATAGAGCAAAGAAGTCTTAGGATCTGTCCAGACCTCCCAACTTTCTCCTCCTTCTTCTGAATCATTCTAGCTTCTCAATTTGCCAGCTTCAATCCAAGGACTAGAAGACAGCTTTTTAACCCAGAGGATGGATATGGTACTCTGTCACAGTCAGCACCCTTGCAAGGCACTCAAGATCCTTGACAATGTGGCCTGATGATGGCAAAAGACTTCTTAGGCCCCAAAAATCTCTCCTTTTACTCTAACAAGACTTCTCCCTTCCCTGACCTGACCTGGTACCACCTGAGAGACCTTCTCTTGCCATCATCTACCCTTTCCCAGTTGGATTAAACATGAACATAGCCTTAGGTTTGGACAAGTTGGTTCTTCCCACTAACAGACCAACTACTAACATCTATCATTCTACTTCTCCTATCAGCCACCTTGCAAAGTGAGAGGGTGGGCTCTGCGGAAGTATATAGGCAAGAAACCTGCACTCTAGTAGGTGAAAAAATAGAGGGGCCCAAGCACGGGGTTGTGTCCAATGCCTGGAAAGGGAATATACAAACAGTGTCCCGGATGTATAGGTAGCTGGGGTAAGGACAGAATGAAGGTGCCAAAAGTCCATACAGTCAGGCAGAGAAGCCAAGGAAGCACAAAGAACAAATATGGCCTATCTCCCAACTTGTTGAGGAAGTTAATATATTCCTGCCACCTTGAATCATCAGTGGTATATGCAGGACTATCCAATCAGGCAACTTGTACCACCTGATGGGACAGTCATGCACATCCCACTGGTGGTTCAGAAGCACCCAGCAATGGGACATATCTATTGCATTCCCATTGTGAACATGCTAAATAAGTCCTGTTATTATAGACAGTTGTTAGGCAGAAATATTATAGGCAGTCAGGCAGGGGTAGGCCCTACAAGGAGTCAATGCAAAAGTAAGAACACATTAAAATTGGCTGGAGATGCATTCATTGAAGGCCAGGCCTCAAACACAGATGGAATGACTACACCTACATATCTCCCCGAGGGATAAACAATAATGATCACCACTCTAAATAGGCATCAGTCACCCAGATGAGTGACCAGGACTTCCTGACTCATCTCTTCCAAAAGAGTCCTTGTTCTTTCCATGTACACTTGCTACATGACTTGCTTCCCCCTTGGATCAGTATTACCTAAACAACTATACTTGTAATCTTATAGGTTGATCATAATTTTGTCCCATGTTGAACCCACCTCATGATTTTATACCCATCTTGTGATTTTGCTCTATTAAAACTACCCTTTTGAGAAAGACTCGCTGGCAACTCACTTTCTGTTTCTCTCAGGCAGGAGCAGACACTGTCTCCCCCTCAATAAAATTTCCTACTCTTAACCTCTGTTGCTTCTCAGAATTCTTTCTTCAATTCTGGGGTATACAAACTCGAGCGTATCAGACATCTATCTAGCTGTTTGGGAGTTAATATTTTCCTTATATCATTTGGAGGTCCTATATGGACATGAAGTCCAGAGAGAAAAGACAGCAAACAGGAGGACCCCCAGGTAAGCCCCATGGCCAATGCCTCTCCGATCCCTCCATCTCCGTCAGACAGTTACAGAAAGTGCGGTGCCAGGTGGGGGGAGCACTGTGTAAGAGAATAAATAGAGCCTGCCCAGAACCGTCATAGGAGCTGGCCGCAGCCACCACAGTCCACTGACTGCGGAGCCAGAGAAGGAGAGGAGAGGCCTGGAAGACACCAATGGGAACAAGTTGAAATCATTGCAGAAAGATAAAGTTCGACAGTTTATTATCATCACACAATCCAGTGAAAAAAATCTTTCTCAAAGTTGTCTTTCTCAAAATGACTGAAAGTTAAATGTTGCAACAGATGTTTTCCAAAATCCTGAACTTTACATACGAGAGAATGCAAAAGGATCATTAGACAGGAAGAAGTTAGAACAACTGTACATTAGGTACAAAGAGCCTCAACATGAAAACAAAATTGGAATAGATGGTATACAGCAATTTGGTGATGACCTGGCACTTGATCCAGCTAGCATCAGTGTTCTGATCATTGCATGGAAGTTCAGAGCAGCAACAACACAATGTGAGTTCTCCAAGCAGTTGTTCATGGATGGCATGAGAGAATTAGGATGTGATAGCATAGAAAAGCTAACGGCTCAGATACTCAAGATGGAACAAGAACTGAAAGAACCAGGATGATTTAAGGATTTTTACCAGTTTACTTTTAATTTTGCAAAGAATTCAAGACCAAAAGGATTAGATCCAGTAGCCATTGTCTACTGGAGCTTAGTGCTTATTGGAAGATTTAAATTCTTAGACTTATGAAGTTATCTTTTTGTCAGGATTTCATAAACAATCAATACCAAAAGATACTTGGAATCTTCTTTTAGACTTCCCTACAATAGCTGAAGATGAAATGTCTACCTATGATGAAGGATCATGGCCTGTTCTCATTGATGACTTTGTGGAATTTCCATGCCCTCCCATTGCTAGAACAAAAAATACAACAGTCTAGCACTTCTCCACTAAAGGAACCTTCTAGAATGTACATACTCAGTACAGTAAATACAGCAGTCAATTTCTGCTGGCTGGACTAAACTGATCATCCTCACTAGTCAGACTGAGGATGGAGACAAAACTTAAAGGATACATTTTGGACCCTATCATACTTCATTCTTCTAGTCTGGGCTACTGTAAACATTTATAAGTCCAACGTTATGGATTTCATCTGAATATCTGTGGACCATTCTAGTTTATTCTCTATAAGTCTGAGAAGCTTTATGATGATTATTTTGAAGTTTCCATTCTTGCATAAAGCACAATGCTGTCTTCATCAGAAAAAAAGTTTAGCATAAGAATTAAACATAATGAACACCACAAACAATTTATAAAAACTTCTCAAATATGTATTTTGGGCTAGTTGCAAAGGCCATGCTGACAGCAATTCTCATAAGTGATACATTTAAGTGTATGGGATCTGGAATGATGTTTTTGTTTGGATTTTTTCTTCCTGGCAAATCTTATGTATTGTTGTTATAAATAGATTGTCTGATAAAAGAAATGACAGAACAACCATTGTAAAAAATTTTTTGAATAACTTGGTGCCTACCTGAAAAACATTGTGTTTTAGATTCCGAATCTCAAAAAGGTTCCACAGAATTAGTCTGCACATACTGTACCCATGTTTATATGTAATGGTCCTACAGGGAGCTTTCACTCAGCAAATGTCTGTATAATGTTAAATTCCACTCTAGTCTACATTATGCACCATATAATTGGATTTCATTATACTTTTCAAATGCTTATGTGCCTATCAAATAAATTAAGCTATTTAATTTGTTCTGAATTGGTATACAATATCCTAAATTAAAAAAAAAAAAACAGGCAACAAGTGAAGCAAATGAAATGAGAGATTTCCCTGCAGTAAAGATCATATTTTACATAGTCCAGTGGCCTCCAACCATCAGTAGGACCCTATCTATTATGGCAATCAAAGAAGTCATCAGACATTGTCAAATGTCTCCTTTCAGACAAAATGACTCCTTTCCTCCAGCTGAGAACCAGTTTTTAAATATCAGTCAACATTACCTTGCTACTTCCCTGCTAAAAACCCTGCAAAGACTCCATATTGCCTCAAGTCCAAAGTCCTTAGCAAATATTCATGGGCTCTATCTGCTTCATCACCCACCTCCCATTTCCACATATCAGCCAACACACAGAACCATCTTCTCCATCATGCTTATATCCATGAGGTCATGCTTAGAATGAACTACACCGCCAGAATGTCCTTACCCCTACCAAGAATGTCCTTTCATCCTGTGATCACTACCAAACTCCTATTCAAATATTCCTTCCCCTCAGTAATTTCTTTTAAAGCCCTACTCAAATGTTCCATTCTCTTAGCATTTTTTTCTGACTTCTTCAGGCAGAACCAACCGACTGCTCGTGTGTTCTCCAAGCACATTATATCTACTTCTCTTTCTACCATTATTTTATGGCCATTTGCTTGCTTATCTGTTTCTTCCTAAATAGTGAGCTCCTTGATAAAAAGAGAACATGCCAGATTAATAGTGGCTAGCATGAAGTCTGGCATACAGTAGGCATACAATTAATGTTTGCTCACTAACATTCATTCAACAAATATTTATTCAGTTCATACCACATGCAAGGCAAGGGATATTCAGCAGTGAACAGGAAAACAAAGTTATTGCTATTATAGAAGTTACAGTCTACACAAGCATATTGCCCTGTGTTACGCTGTTACAAGACTAAGCGTTGTCATTCCCAGTGCGAAAGATGATTTACCTTACTACCTACCTCGACAGACCCAGACTGACCCAGAATGGGGGGTCATGCTGCTTAAAGGCAGTCATTCCCCTAATACTCATGCAACAAGACTGTAAAAGTTGGTTCCTGGGGTGGGAGGTTTAGCTCAGTGGTTCAAGCTCTTGCCTGCTAAGCACAAGTCATGCATTCAATTCCCAGTGGAAGGAAAATAATTCACATCTTCTGTAGGAAAAAGTTGGTTCCTAAACCTTGCAGGTGATTTATTCTCCAAAAGTCTGAATCAGGAAGAAGTGGATGCATAATTAAAATCTGATTGCTAATCAAAGGAAAGGCAGGAGGCAAAGGAAAAATAACCTAAATTGCTCTGGAAATTATTATCACTGTGCCTACCCTTCTGAAAAGGTGGAGCAGAGGGTGATTCAAAGCTAGGCTCACACAGCAACTAGCTGGCACCTGCCGCTCCCAGCAATGCCAGTGGGCCCAAGAGTGTCTCTCTGACACTATGAGTCCCTCTGCCTGGGGCCGCAGCACCTTCCTCTAGTAACCATATTGGCATTCAAAGTTTAAATACACCAAAATTAAATAAACAGTAAGGCTCAACCACATTTTCACTGGCTTGGAAAGAAATGGCTGTTTCCCAGGAAGCCTGAGGAGCAGAAGCCCAGCTGTCAAGTATATCTGGGGATTAGTGATGTTGAGGACGGAGGAGGAGGGTAGAGAAAGAATAAAGGCTCTGAGTTTTAGGTTAGGTTCCCTAATACACAACTTGCAGTGAGAATTCCTGCTCCAGTGACTTACTTGCTGGGGCAGTGGAAAGGAGGGCAGGATGCAGTTTACAGCAGCAATCAAAGTCAGCAAGATATGTAGTCTCAGACAGAGACTGCCTTCAGCTCTGGACCAAGACTAGTATGACGGACCTAGGTCCACTTTGAGGCAAAGGAACTGGCCTTGTGTACCCCTTGGTCCTCCACTCCCCGGTCAGCATCTAAGGGGAAGGGAGCTCCTGTCAGCCAAGGGTCAGTTTGCAAAGCAAGGGCAGCTTGAGCCATTATCAACCAAGCCTCATAGCAGAGGGGCCCGCAGTATCCACTATGCCTTACTTTTGTCCATGGCTCCTGGATGGGGAAAGACTGACACCAGGGAGTCCTGGCAACAGCAGAGCCCTCAGCCTCCTCAGAAATTCCTGTCCCACAGTATCTCCTTTGTGAAGCAAAACAAAGTGATCTTTGACAAGATGATCTGCCAGGCCACTCGGGGAGTAAAGCTGGGAGTGGAAGTGACTTGCCAGAGCCAGCAGATTGACCCCAAGCCCTGGCACGGTAGCCATTAAAAGGAAGCCACAGTGTGCTAATGTCACAGGCCTGGCACCCCTCTCCCCACCCTGCCTGGGTTCATAGGAAAGTCAAAAGGTGGGGGGCAGGGGATTGAAATGAAAGAATCCAGCTGGGGGAAGGACGAAGGAGAATGTGTTTCAGGTCAGAGGAAATGCCATCACTCTTCCTGCACAGCTTGACCTTTGGGCTCACTCCTGTCCACTCCTCTCCTCTAAGAACCACTGTCCTTTAGGAACCAGGCTCCTCCAGGCAGCTCACCAGATCTCCCCATCCACCATAAACTTCTCTCCAGGAGAAATCTATAAAACTCCCTGAGGACACTTCATTTCTGGGATCTGGCAGATTTTGCCTCATGTTGTGAATTACCTTTAGGTAAGGTAATAGAGGGCAAAACTCTTAAGTCTTTCTAGCCTGCATGATGACAGCACAGAATCTGGCTCCCAACGGAGCAAAGGACGCCTAATGCATTTGTGTTCATGAATGCAGCGGGTGGGAAAGCACCTTGAGGAAAAGGACACACTCCCTGATGTGTAAGCAGGCTGCTGACAGTGGACAACCTAAGAAAATACCTAAAACAGGCAGGGAGTGTGCTGAGCAATCAGCTGCTATGCCTAGATGCCAGGGACCAGAGACACGGCACTCCTGCCCATGGTAAAGAACAGGACACCAGGAGCTCTGGTGAAGGACAGTGGTAAACTGGGCTCCAGCTCTGAGAGGTCAGGACTCACACTGGGCTGAATGCACACAGAGAGGAAACACTCAGTGACTGAGTGCCCCTGAGTCCTGTCACTGGGGCTATGACTGCAACACCGAGGGGTCCAGATGTGAGCCACTGGGCACCAGTCACCCTGGGAAGAAGTTATAGAGTGAGGCTGCTTCAGCTGCGTGGGTTCCCCCATGAATGAGTCTGGAGCCCTGAGGACGAGCTATTCTCACACTGTCAAAGCAGGAACCAGGGCTGCTGAGCAGGCAGCTAGCTCTCTTTGGTGCCTTCGGTGGGATCAGCAACCGAGAAAGCAGATTCAGGGCTGGGAACCCTCCCACCAGCTCAGGACAATCAGACCCTGGAGTAGTGGTTGCAAGGGCACCCCCAAAAGGCTGTCTGTAGTCTCTCCTAGGGCAATCCCTCTCCCTTAGATGTGGGCATCTCACTAATGAGTACCATATCGGACAACACAGATCTAGAATCAAAAAAAGGAACACTAGTACCAATACTAATGAAGTAGTGACAAAGTATGGCTAACATTTAACAAGAGTATATCATTTTCCAGGCATTGTTCCAAGCATATTAGCTCATTAAATAGACTCCACCATATTGGATACGTATATATGTGTTTGTATGTGTGTATGTATTTGTATACTGAGACTACTATATATACTGAATCTCTTGTAATAAAATGTGAAATTATTACTAACTTTACTAGGCCACAGTAGTAGTACATGCCTATAATCTCAGCACTCAGGAGGCTGAGGCAGGAGGCTCACCATGAGTTCAAGAACAAGCTGAACTTCATAGTGAGACTCTGTCTCAAAAAAAAAAAAAAAAAAAAAAAAAACAGGGCCAGGGATTGAGCTCAGTGGCTTAAATGCCTGCCTGGCAAATGCAAGGTCGTGAGTTTGATCCCTGGTACCACCAAAAAAGAAAAAAAAAAAAAAATACAACATTGCTATACATTCTGACATCATGTATTTCCTGTCTATCAGTACTAAAATCTTAATCACCATCAGTAATGTTTTAATGACAAAAATGTATTAGTCCTTATATTCAAAAAGACTGGGAATTTAAAGCATTAGCAGAGTGGGTAGGAGAAAGGTAAGAACAAACAAAACGTTTCTTCACTTTGATGGTTCCTGCCCCTTACAACCCTCAGTTTAGCTTCCCTCTACCCCATGAGTAAAGGGAAAGATCAATTTCCCCCCGTCTTCATTTCTGTTTTTCTGCCTTTGGACTAGAATACCATCTCCTCCGCTCGCGCAGCTCAAGCCCTCACCTGTTTCCTGCGCTACAGCGTGAGCATGCATGGCTACCGAGCGCTGTGCACACTTAGGGCACACATTTCTACTCACCTGAGCACATCTCCCCTTTGTAGCGAACACAGGAGAAGTCATCACACTCACAGTACTTGCCCGTGATCTTGCCAAAGTCACTGCTGTGGCAGAGGCACTGGCCACAGAGGCACTCGCCCCGCTGACTACAAACGGGCTGGCCCTCCTTAGGGCTGCACTCGTCCTGCTGAGAAGGCCGATAGTCCTCCTCAGAGCACTCGCACTGGGACCCCAGCCAACCGGGCCCACAGAGGCACACCCCACACTCGAAGGTCCCGTTGCCGTTGTTGCAGCGGTGGCTGAAAGGCTCAGCATAGGCCTGGCAAGTGCAGTCGCAGTCGAAAGTGACCTGGATGGTGAGGCTGTCCTTGAAGCCCACAGGCTTGATGGTGAAGGACTTCTCCTTCTCCTGGGGGCAGCCGCGCACCTTGGCCTCAATGCTGAAGCTCACCTGGGTGTGAAGCAAAATGGCAAGCAGGCCCAGTCAATCTCCAACCAGAGGAAAAGAAGCTACTCCCTTCCCGATCAGGGAAAACCCAGAGGGGGTATCTAACCCTCCTGCAGTCCGGAATTCCACAGCCTCCCCACTGCAAAGCCAAACAAGGGCACTGGCGTAGCTGAGAGGCTGTGACCTATACGTCGAGACCCAGAGACACAGTTACAGTTCAGAAGAAAAAGGCTGTTTTATTCCACATGTGAAATAAACTAGATCAAACAGAACAGAGTCTGTGGTCTTGTGAACACTCTGCTCAAATCAACAAAGCCAGCTGGACCAATTACTGAATATCAACAGATACACAAAATATTATGTAGGGGCTGGGGATTTAGTTCAGCAGCATAAGCACCTCCCTGGCAAGCACCAGGTCATGAATTCGATCCCCAGTACCAAAAAAAAACCCCACTATGTGGCACCACACAACGCCACAAAGTGGACAACCATAAGCTATTCAATTTCCATATCACATTTCATCACAGACCAATGTTTCTTACGTGGGGTGTGGGAACAGGTGCCTTGAAAATACTGATAAAGCTATCAGTAAATAGATCTACAGAAAGATCACTGAATTATAAGATTTACTTCTCTCCCTTTCTCCCTGTTCTCTACCAATCCTTCCCTCCTTGAGTGGAGAACCAAGTAAAGAAAGCCATGAAGGAACTGCAGAGCCAGAGTGAACACTTGCATCCTCAAATTCTCCAAGGATAGGTATTTTTGCTTGTTTGATTGCTGTTGAATCTTCAGAAAACAGAATAATGCCTGGCACACAGTCAGTGCTCAATAAAAATTTGTAGATAATTTAAATTTTATGTTGTGGAGAAATAAAAGGTATTATCCTAAGGGATGCTGGAAACTGGTTAGGAGCCCAAGGTAAGAAATACTTTCATTTTCGATCAAATATGCAAGACAGAAGGCAGGGCCAGACCTGCAGCTCCCGGCCCCGCCTGCCTCACCGTGTCTCCAATCTTGAGCCCCACACAAGACTTGAGGCCCGGGATGACTTCATTGTTGAGGCAAGTGGCATTGAAGGACAGCGACAGTTCTTCAGGGAGGTCACGGACCTCTAGCTCTACTTTCGAACGGATTTTCTGAACAGAAAGGAGAAAAAAATTCAGGAAATGAGCTAAAAGTAATTGGGCAACAGCCAATTTCATCCCAAGAAACCTCTGCTAGGTCGCTTTGGACTTACTGTTTACCAGCTGTCAAAATACCCAGGAGCTTTGAAAACGTGAGTGGGCAAAAAAAAAAAAATACCCAAGAGCTACCCACTATGGACAGCTGAGGCAGGAAGATCTCAAATTTGAGTCCAGCCCAGAAAACTTAGCAACTTACTGAGATCTTGTCTTAAAACTTCAAAAAAAAAAAAAAAAGAAAACTAAAAAAGGACTGGGGAGGTAGCTTATTGTGAAACCTGCAGTACAATAATAACAACTAAAAATACGCTCACCTTTCCCATGGCTCAATTCCTTCTTCCCTCTGTTGCTAGAGCCTGGCTCTCCCTCCATTGTCTCCTACAACTGCTTCCATCTAATCCCCCATCCCTCCCTTTCCACCTCTCTAAGCCCTCCTAAGTCCCTGAGGTACTCTGGCATTCTTTGTGGGGTCATTTCCTTCTCAGAAGGCTGCATCCCTCCCTCCCAGGACTGGCCATTGCTCAGCATCTGGGAGCAAATGAGAAAGTCATCAAGGCTACATGTTGACCTGGCAGCCAGCACCCCCAAATCTGAGCCCCATGGCGTAAGCCAAGCCCAGAAGATTCCGCAGGCCTGTTCCCAGCACAAGACACTTACCCCGTAAGCATTAACAATGAGCTGGAGGACATTGCTGGAATCGGCAGACAGAACCCCCACTGTGGTCCCTGGGATGAGCTCACTATAGTTCTAGAAAGGAAGACAAAGATGTTCAGAGCCGTAGCAAAGAAAAGTAATGGTCTCTGTACCAAATCAGATTGAAAGTCTTAAGTGAAGATTGGAGATATTTCACTTGCTACTATTAGAAATATATTAGCAGTTTTTCAGTCCTGAGCAAAATTACAGAAAACGTTTCATACTCTCACCACACTGAGACACATCCAATCCATCACTGCAAACATCAACATACCTTTCCTAGTAAGTGTGAGGTTGGAGGGAAAAGGTCACAGGGAGGAATTTTAAAGACCTGAGAAATGAGTTGAAGCAAGATCTTTCTTGTTTGGGCCATTGTTTACGGTAGCATGGGCTGGCTCCGTGGAATAGGTCCACCCACCATAGCCACCCACCCTTCAGCCTCAAAGTAGGGTTACCTGGTAGAGTCTGACTACATTTTCAGTCACTGCAAAGATCAGATTGATGTTGTTCTGAGATAGCTTCTCAGTCATCAGCCCCAGAGAGGGATAATCCTAGAGAAAGAGAGGACATGAAAGTTTTAACATCTCACATAAGTCAATGAATTCTAAGCTTTTGATCTTGGCTGATTTGGGCTATGACAAAAACAGTAGTGATGTTTTACATTTTTTTGCCCCATAGTCAAAATGAAGTGCTATGATTGGGTTATGCTTTGCTGTCCCTCAAGGTTTCAGGTGTTAACATTTAGTTCCCACTGAACGGTGTCAGAAGGGTAAAAATAGAATCTGACTATGGTGTTTGGAGGTGTGGCCTTTGGGAAGTGATTAGGATCTGATAAAGTCATTAGGTGGAGTCTCATGATTAAATCCTGGTGACCTTATAGGAAAAGGAAGAGAAACCAGAAGATACATGCATGGACCATTGTGTTTCCTGACTTTTGCCATATGATGCCTTACACCATCTAGTGACACTGGAAGCAAGAAGACCATTACCAGATAGGATTCCTCAGCCCTGCACCTCCAGAACAATGAGTCAAAATAAACCTCTTTTGTTTATAAATTCCCCAGTCTGTGGTATTGTGTTACTAGCAACCAAAACTCGGCTAACACATGCATAAGGACAAAGTAGCAAAACAAACCTAACTGTGAACACTAGAGGCAGATGAAGAGGTATAGGCTAATGACATCAAAACTGAGCAGCTCCTCCTTGTCACTCTAATTCAATGCAGTAGCAGCGTGGGCTTCACAGGCTGGGCACCAACATAGGTCCTACTGTTTTAGAGCTACTGGCCAATACATTAGCCCTCTTCTTGTGATCCTCCACTAGTACCACAAACATTGTCTTCTCCCAGTAACCACAAGTGTCATGGTATTTCAAGATGGTGCTCACCATTAGTTAGGGAAGAAGGCCTACTTCCCACCTGGCCCCATAAGAGTCCTTTGGATCTATTCGGGATACTGTGACACATCTGCTAGTATTGACGGCAGTGGAACCAATGACAACAGTCACAGTCAAGGCAATTTCCAGGAGCTGTGTACGTTATGCCCTGTGTAAGGGTACCCTATTGGCAGGGAAGGAGTCGGCTGGAACTAAGCCCTGCCCACTGCTCAGGAAGGGATCAGGAAGGGCTGCCATTTTCATGTTCATACAAAGGTGTTGACTGAACTAGGGCAACCTTAGTCATAGTAGACGTGAACTCTGGGCGGTGCCAGGGATCTCACCATGGTAGTGGAGGCAGAATAATGATTGTCACTGCCAATGTGACACTGCCCATCATTCGGCTGAACAATGCCTGCCAGCCTGCCATCCAGTGCTATGTGGGTCTTGGCATCAGTCGTAAACACCAGCAAGTGTGATGCATCATTCCTCCAGCCAATTTTCTCCTGTTTAAATAAAAGCAAAAGAGGAAAAGCAATTTCAGCAACGTCATTGGTAGAGAATAATGATCCAAGGACCTACCTGCCCAAAGGGCCAGGCAAGTCATTTTGAAGAATGTCAGTGCAAGTCCTTGAAATCCAAACTAGAACCCCAATCCAGGGGTTTGTGTCCTATTGGAAAAGTCTCATACTTGATTAACTCAAACAGGCAAATGATACCTTCAACTCCAAATATAATTCTTCCAATGATAATCATGTTGCCCATCTAGAAACCACCTTTCATCTACAGAGCTGGGCTGGGCTAAGAGAAATTCTCTGCAAACATCAACCTAGCCTCGACTCTGAAATAGTTTTGGAGAAGGTGGGAAGATGATCTTCCCTGAAAACATTTGGGACCACTGAGGTTCCAAGACATGTCAGCTCTGGCTGGGAGGGAATAAAAGCAGAGGCTGCATATCTGAAGCAACTAATTATTCACAATGAACAAAATTCTGCTTAATCTTTATCTCTTATTTCACAACAGACATTTGCAGAGTGAGCCACTTGCTTGCCCATTTTGATCTGTCATCTGTGTCTGGCATCCCATGCCCTCCAAACTCACATCACAGACTGTGGCCTGCATGATGGCATCAAAGCCACCTTCTGGGGCATCCCGGTTCCGTGATACACTCTGTTTCTTTACTTCCTCATTGAAGCGGTTCATCTGGTCAGTCAGTGTCAGCACATGCTTGTAGCCGAACATAGGCAAACAGCGGGTCTTCAAACTGGGTAGGGATGGGAGACAAGTTAAGCAGACACAGGGATGGGGAAAGACAGCATGAGGAAGAAAGGGAGGAGGAAAGGGAGAGACAAATATGGACCACGGTGTACCCAGATGGGTTCTGTACAACCACCATGACCCAGACAGGCAGGCTCCAAACCGCTCAAATTACCTTAGGGCACCACATCAACATTACCCCCAGGTACCTTCGGGGATAGGAGAGCGAGCTGGGAAAACAGACTGCATGTATTCAAATCCCAGTCATGGAACCCTTGGCACACCTCCCTGAGCCTGGCCTAAGAAAACAGGGACATGACAGCACCCATCTCAAAAGCACTATCCCAAGGTTTATAGGAGTAAACATGTAAACAACAACAAAGCTCAAACTGTTGCTATCACCTCATAATTAACATTCCTCTGCAGTAAAAATGAGGCAAAAGTCCATCAAACATCAAAGCCTCTTTCGCCATTAATAAATGAATAGGTTTGTCAGACAAGAGTACTGCTGTCTCTAGACTCAGTTTATTAAATTAATAGTTGATGTGTTGGGCTGGGGATTTAGCTCAGCGGCATAAGCACCTGCCTTGCAAGCAGGCAGTCATGAGTTCAATCCCCGGTACCGATAAAAAGGAAAAAGACAAAAAAAAAAAATAGTTGATACGTTTACTAGAGAAGTTTACAGCCCACACGGAAGGTTAAAAGCTACATCGTGAAAGTTGGAAAATTAAAAAGTAAGTTCACATCTTCTCAGGCTTAGTAACCATCATTTTAAATTATTATAACACATGAATTTGTAGAGCCTCTGCCACCTAAGTGTCATTCAGCTATAAACTAATACAAGAAACAGAGGCACAGGGCTGGGCACTCAGCGATACAGCACCTACCTGGATTCCATGCCCACCACATCAGAAAAAAACAAAAAGCAAAAAGCAAAAATCGAGGCATAAATTTATCCATTTATACACTGTCAAAGGATTCAATAGCTGTCATGTCCACCCTTACATGTCCTCTAGGGCTTAACTTCCTGCATTCTAACTCTGCAGAATCTGATGATGAGAACAGTGACAACAATAAAGTCAAGCCTTCCAAAAGCATAATTCCTCTGCTTATTTATTCATAAATTTCTTTGCTTTTAACATCATTTCCCTCCCAGTCTCTTTCGCCTCCTATTTATTTGTGACAAAAACCAAAATACTCATGAAATTTTTTTTCTAGTATCTCAAGCAGCCTTGGGATGTCTTGGTACAACACCCCACCCAGATTAGCAGGCTAGCCCATTTGCCAGACAGGCAGACCAAGGCAGAAAGGAGCTATGGATTGGCCAGAAAGTGGCTCATAAAATGACCTCGAGCTAGAAATGGGAGCCAGGAAGTGGCAAAAGGAGAGGCGTGCTTCCCTGGCTTCTGGAGCAGGAACTTACTGATAGCAGGGGTTTGTGAGGGCTTCTGGTGGGGAGATGTACATGTACGGGGACACAGGCTTGTCCACAAAGGCTCCAAAGCCAATCCTCAGGTTACTGGTGAGCTTGCGCATCTCGGAGGCCAGCTTGGTGCCCAGATTCTGGATGCTCCTCAGATCATCCTTCATGGAGTAAGACAGGTCCATCAAGTAGTAGATGTCTACAGGGTAATCCTCCACCTGCCGCACTTGGATAGAGAACTTCTTGGAATCATCTGAATAGCAGAAAGATGTTAGTTTTTTCTCTTCTTTTCCCTTTAAGACTGAATAAATAAATTTAGACACATCTGGGACTAAGAGACTACTTGATCAAATAAAGCCCTGGTCCTTTCTCTCCCTTTACAATTCTTTCCTCTCCCAGTCTCTTGACCCTCCTGTTTTTCACCTCTTCATTTCCATGTTAAGAGTTTTTCACCCTGTCTAAACCCCCATCTGTCCAATCATCTGGGTCCCAAGAGTCACAGAGATTTTGACATTTACTACACTCAGACTCAGTGAAAGACCTGAACTACACCCGCACTTCTCTGAATCCCACAACACCCCACACATGCCTTGCACACACCAGTACTTCACAGATCAGCATCCTTTAGCCTAACATTTCTTCTCTGCCATATGCTCCTGCCCACTGGAAAACATTTACTTTCTCATCCTTTGTCACATTCGCACATCAGTATAAAGGTATAAGTTGGGTAAAATAGGCCTGAGGGAGGAAAAAGCAGTTGTGAGCATCTGCTATGTCAGGAGGATTAAACAACTTTCCCAAGATGGAGTTATCATTGGAACTCAGTTATTCTGATTCAAATCCTAACAATTCCCATTTTCTTCATTTTCCCACCCACAGCTCACCCCACCCCCATCCTTCTCTTCCTCCCTCATCTCCATTTGGAGCTAGTCAGATTTCTTGCTCAGACCTCTGTGTCATCCCTCTGGCTCATCTATCCCACTTTTCTCCCTGCAGTTGAGTCCCAGCCCTACCTGGCCGTAACCGGAGAGCAATTCTCTGGGGACTGACTTGAGTGATTTGAGAGCTGTCTCCAGAGCCCTTGTCGCTGAGGGGTCTGGCTTCCAAGATTTGGACCTCGCTGACCGGGAATTCAATGGATTCCACAGCACAGTTATCCGCCAGCAGATTTTCCTTCAGGTTACAGCGGGGTGAGCTCAGAGGCAGGTTCTGTAAGACAGGAGCCCAAGAGAAAGCCCTGTAGTCAGAATTGTGACAGCTCTGTGCTCCTGCTGGCCCTGCTGTCTCCTGATGGCTTTAAGCTTATGCAGTACCTTAGAGCTAAACCAGCATAATCAACTGGTGTGGTTCTTTCTCAGATAATCCCTAGCACTATGTACAGAAACAGGAAACTGAGGTATCAGAAGGACTAAGGAAGTCCCTGTTTATGGGTTGACAGCTTTATTAAAAGAGGGCCTGACAGTAAGATGCCTGTTGGACAAGCATTTTTCAAACAGAAATGCCACTCATTTGTAGAGTCCAAGATCAATTTGGTGGTTCTCAATCATCATTTCATTAAATAAAATGGAATAGAATAGAATACAACAGAACAGAATAAAATAGTGTCAGCATATATAAATAGTAAAAGTGTGGCTTTGTAAAACTTTTACTTAATGAGGAACGGGGTATAACACATATAATAATGAATGACATACAGTGTATTTCTTTCTATAGTTAAAAGCCAAAACATTTGGAAACTGCTATGTTAGACCCAGCCAGGCTGTGACATCCATGAAGACAAGGACTATGTCCTGTTCCTTTTCTATTCCTAGCACGCAGCCCAGGACTGATGACAAAGGTGACAGGGGAAAGGCAGCAGGGAGGAAGGTAAAGGATAACAGTATAATAAAAGACAAAAAAAGAGTAGACTGACCCGGACTAAATCTCAGCACTAACTGGTTTCAGAGTTTGGGCAAATCATCCAAACTCTCCAAGCTTATCCTCAGCTATCACACGAAGATAACAGCCCTCCACTGGCATCCAGAACAGTCAGATTCCTAGACACGGAACAGAATGGTGATTGCTAGGATCTGTGAGAGAGAGAAATGGGTCTGGTTGTTCAAAGAGCTTAGTGTTTCAATGTCACATCATGAAGAGTTCTGGAGATGGATAATGGCGGTGATTTCACAGCATTATGAATGGATTTAATACCACTAAACCATATGTCTAAAAAATGAGTGAGATGGTAAATCCTGTTATATGCATTTTATCACAATATAAATTCCTTTTTTAAAGAAATCATAATAGTAATAATAATAATAATAATTGCTCGTTCCTCATAGAGATGACATGTAGGGCTAAATATGACAATGCATGTAAAACACACAGCACAGTACCTAACATACAGTAAGTAATAAATGTTAGCTATTATTATGTGATGCTTGATAAATATTTCTTGAGTAAATTAATTATAAATAAACTTCATAAGCTGGAGAAACATGTCATGATGCCAGACTACTGACCACAGCCTGTCCTATCATCTTCTTCCTTCATCCTAGACAAAGAGCAAATTGAATACCCATTCAAAACCTCCGGCCTACATCCTGCCACCCTCTGTGGGTTCACGGTGTACTCATATCTAACTATTAGATGACTGACTTGCTATACTAGAAAAAAATACCGGAAACCAGGAAATAGGTTTAACCATCAGCTGGCTGTGGGAGCTCAGATAAGTCACTGTGAGTCTGTTTCCTTGCCAATTCAATAGACTACTTGTGTAATTCAGCCAGTGTTGTAAGCATGCACATTCACAAGGGCTCCTTGCCTGGTTGAGGGGGGTGACCAGAAAGAGAGAAAGCCCCTGCCTGAGCCTATTTCACAATGCCTGGGCCTTTAGTCTCTCCTACCCAACCCTTCACAGCCACCTCCAAAAGTCAACCGACACACAAATATTGTGAAACACCTAGTGTTCACATTTATTGAGCACTTTCTATATGCAGCCGCTGGGATGAGCATTTTACGTGTGTAACTGTAATCCTCCTGACAGTTCTGCAATATTGCAACTATTAGTATTTCACAAGTAAGAGACTTAATGTCCAGAAGTTTCACACATGAGGAGTGAAATCTTGCATAAGAAATCCAAGGCTTAGAGAAGTCAAATAACTTGCACAAAGTTCCAGAGCCAGTAAGTGGCACACCTAGTAGGCTAACTAGATTTTCTGACTGCGACTATCCTTTTAAAAAATCAGTTTTAGTATATTCTGTATAAAGAGAGGGTTCAGGCAGAGAGACAGGAGTGTAAAAATGCCAAGAGAATGCCTCAGGTACAGAACAGAATGCAAATGTGGATGTGAGATGTGACAGGAAGGTCAGATAAAATTCCTTCCCCTCGGTGTGTTCATGTGCCCTGGAAGCCCAAATGCCCAGGGAAAAAGAACAGAGCCACAGTGGGCCACCTGTGCTCCAAATCTCAGTAGCCCCAAACCCCTCCTAATGCTCAAAGTCCATGTCTTCTTGAGTCCCGTCCTCCTCCAATCAGCTGAAGGGCTTCCCCACATGGACAGACACCAGCAGCTGTATGAGGCCTACTCCAGCACACACACAAAGTGAAAAGAGCTTCTTCTGGGACTCTACAAGGTTCAAGAGCAGAGAAATAACTTCAGCAATGGGAACCAGAGCACAGGACTTAACCGTCCGGACTGTAGATATCCCAATATAGACACCATGGGCCCTCCATAATTCTGAAAGAGATGGAAATCTCCTTCCTCACACCCAGCTCTGGCCAGGGAACAGAATGGCCACAGGGAAAACTGGGCATTTCAGGTTTTGTGCTCAGCCTCCCCTGATTCCTGCCCTATCAACCCTTGTCCCTCAGAAAGCACCTTTTTCTTAGTCAAAAAAAAAAAGTCTTGTGTCCAATCCCAGCCACCCACATAAGCCTAGAGAAAACCTTCCCTAAAAGGCAATGATTGGATCACAAGATGCTGCTGTGAATAAGTGATCCTTTGCAGGATAAGATGGAGGCTAAAGAGAGAGCTAGGAGGCGGAAGCCAGAAAGCTGATGAGAACAGCAAGCTTCATTATCTTCTCATCTGAAAAGGGAGAGATTATTCATGAAAGGGTTGTCCACACTCTCATTTTCTGACGAGGCAGTCCTAATTATAAGAGGACTTAGTGCTAGGAGGCATGCTTATGGTTTGGTATGAGTGTCCTTAAAAAAATAAACATTGAAAAACAAAATTTATCTCCCTCTTCCTTTCCTCCCATTGTTGACTCTGATGTCAGAGGTCTAGAACATAACAGGCCCACCCATCAACCCAGATCTCCCTGAGAGCCTCCCGTCCCAAGGGGTACAAGACAGTGACCTCAGCCCCCACAGGCAACATTCCCTTTCTGAACAACCCAGGTTGAAGTGGTAGAAAGGCTGTCTCCAGGCTACTCAGCAAGAAAACTAGAAATGGGTGGATATTAAAGTTCTAGTTTCCAGTGAAACCGGATATTACATACACAAAAAATCAAAAATAACCAAGGCCCATGGGACATTCCAAGCACCGAAGGGGGAGATTTCAGCCTGTGTACTGTGCCAGCTGATAGATTACCTCCACTTCCTGGAGAGTGACACATCATGTTGTTAGTACCCTTCCCCCATTAATCCTGCTCTGGAAACTGGGGAAATACAGCACAAATAGCTGTCATTATGCTATTTCACAGAGTTGGTCAGGAAATAAACTGAGATTGTGAATGTGACATGCTTTTGAAATACAAAAGTCTCAACATGAGTCAAATACACTCAAAGCCTTTTGGGTACACGATAACCAAATAAAAGTAAATAAGGGTGCTTCTTAAGTATCACTGTAACTAACTAATATGGTCACTAAATACTGCTTCCTTGGAGGAGAGCAAGGGAAAATATACCTAGGTATTTTACTCCAGAGAGCTGCCCAAACATCTCCAATACAAACAAATCAAGGCTATTGTCTTGACTGGCTTATCTGCTGACCATAAGCAATCACCTGAACATGCAGAGGAGTGTGGACAGGACAAAAGGAAGACAGAAGGAAAATACAGTTATCACTAGTCACACTTCATTGTTTACAAGGAAAGAAAAGCTCTTAATATTCTTTCACTCCAACTTGTTTTTGTAAACAATGACATAATTCTCAAAATAGACATTGATTCTCCAAATTTTTAAGTAGAAAAAAACACAGAAAAGTAGAATAAAATTGTTAAGAACTAAAAAGAACTATAAAGAGTAGTCTAAACTTTTCCCCCACAGTTGTGAAAGAGAAAACGAGAAGGAAGAGCTATCAGAGTCTTCCTTTACTTTGAGAGACCCAAACCCCCTCCTTCGTCTTTCATCTTTGGACATCTAAGTAAGAACTGGCCCATCTTCCAGCGGGTTCACAGTCCTCTATGTCAATTTTGCATTTCTCTCTACGCTAGTGCTGCCAATAGAGCAATTTGGAATATACTCATACTAACAATTTCTTGTTATTTAGTCCCAATTTAATTGGGTGTTCTGTATTTATCTGCAACCTTAACTACACTTCTGCTCACCTTGACCAATAACCAACCCCTTCAATTAGCAATGTTTATCCAATTTGCCATCATAGCAACCCATTGTGAGACACTAGGCCCAGGATCCCTCCTGGAAACCTTTATTTTTAACAAGCCCCTCAGCCCATCCTCACTATCAGAAGAGTTCAAGAGGATTTAGACTCCAGCCAGCATGGTGCCAAGACTACAAGTCAAATCTCTGCACGAAGCTGGTATCTTTGCTAAATGTACAGCCCATCACCCCAACCCGGGTGAATACATAACTATCCAAGAACACACCCTATGCAGATGGGCCCAAACACCACACTCATTCACACTGGCTATGTTTTCCTATTACCCAGCCAAGCACTCACTCCACACACCCAAAAGCCACTGTCCTCTGAGTAACAAAAGAAACTGAGCCCAACCAGTTGTTTTTCCAGGCATTGCTGGCAACAGTCAAGGCACTGAGTTGCACCCCATCCCCATCTTTAGGTTTTAAGTCATCAGCCAAGGCCCTCTGAGCAGTTAACGTTGGCCTATGAAGGGGAAGTCCTGTTCCCTCAGAAAAAAGATACCAGTCATGCAGTCCAGGGATCCCTCTTCTTTCCTCCCTGGAAGACATCATTTGCCCCACACCAGGCTCCTCCACCTGCCTTCTCCCACCTCATCCCTCTTGCCTAGTGATAGCTATTGTCACTCACTAAATCCTTGGTTTCCGCTGCTTTCATGTTTACATTTTCTCCTCCTGGGAAATATCCCATTGGACTTTCTATCTCCCCCCATTAGTTTTCTTTGGTCCCAGCAGTACCATGTCCTGATTCCACTCCATTCCTAGGCTGGTCCTACCACAAACTTTCATCCTACCATTGCAACTTCCCCCTGCCCCCTCCTGGACTTCTCCCCCAGATTCTCCAAGGCAGAGTTATCTGCTTTTTCTCTTCCTTTATACTGAAAAGGAAGAAAAGAGGAAGAAGGTACATCCTTTGAGCAACCCTCAGGTTTCTGCTCAGGATCCCACTATGCTCCAGCTAGCTTCAAGCCATCTAATCCAAGCAAGACACTCCACACTCAGCTCCCTCTTTTCCAGAATTCTGCTGCAGAATTGCAACTTCCTTGTTTAAAAAAAAAAAAAAAAAAAAAAAAAAAAGCTTATTATGATGATGACCAAAGGCAGGAGGATATGGCAAGTGAGAAGGGAGGAGGCGACATCATCACAGTTAAGCAGCCAGCTCAGCCCAGAGGGGAGGAGAACCTGTGGGGGCGGAGATGGACTCACCCTTCTCCTTTACCCCCCATCTCCAGCCCCAGGGACCAGTTCATTTGCTAAATGAAGTCAATGTGGCCCAGATGTTGGGCAGCTGCCTCTGAAAGCAGCTCCTATGCTGAAAAATCACGTGTTGAGCTGGCCCCGCACTCTGGCAGTCCTCTTGTTGGGGATAAACACAATCCCCCAGCTCCCCTCCTTTCCAGCCTGCCCAGGAGGTTGCCTTTTTAGGAAGCCTATTAGATCAGGAAGAGAAGCAGACACACAGAATGAGGGGCCCAAATGGAGTTGTCATAAAACTGTAGAGGATCAGAACATGCTGCAGGTCAAAGAGGATCAGAACATGCTGCAGGTCAAAGAGGATCAGAACATGATGCAGGTCAAAGAGGATCAGAACATGCTCCAGAAGCTGAGCAGCAGCCAGGCCAGGAGTCAGGTAACCACCTGCCAGCAGTCAGCAACTCAACCTCAGACCCCATAATCACTAGAAATCTGTCCAGTCATACTTACCACTCCCACCAGCACCAGCTCTTGCCAGCTCCAAATTCCCATCAAAGCCACAAACATAGCCATTTCCCCAGACACACTCATTCCCTAGAGCCTCAGACACAACAAACCCTCTGCCTAGACACAGCTAACCCTTTCCTGTCACCCTTCCTTCTCAGCAATGGGCACACTTCCTTCCCTCACTGACACCTAGGAGAGGGGAGAAAGAAGGAAAAGAAGAAAAAGAGAGAGGTCCAATCCTAAGAGGAAGAGAAAAGACCCTCCAACTAAACACCCCCCATACACAAGTGCAATACTCCTATTTGTCTTTTTTAAATTCTAGGGGAAAGAAGTAAACCGATGTCTCTTTTCTCAGCCTGAGTCACCTCTTCCCTGGGATGACCTATCCCAACAAAGAGCAAAAAATGTGTGTTACTGGAGAGCAGCAATTACAGCAAGGTCAGAAGGCCAACGAAATTGGTTGTGGTAGGGATTCACCATAGACTTTGAGTGGCGTTTGTTTGTTTTAAAACAGGATTTTGCTATGTAGTACAAGTTGGCCTTGAACTCGCTTATGTAGCCCAGGTTGGCCTCAAAATCATAGCAATCATCCTGCCTCTGCCTCCTAAATGCTGGGAAAACAGGTGTGCACCACCACAACCAGTGAATAGCATTTCTTGCAGTGTCTCCACGATGCCCCCTCTCTATCTAAAACCAGCAAGGACTCATCCCAGCCTTGCTCAAGAGGGATGAGGGGGTGTACATTTAGAAGGGAGAACACCATGGGTCTATTCCTATACAAAAGCCTCAAAGTCTGGGGTAACAAGGTAAAGTGTCTGATTCTTACCTTATCTGAACACCAGGCACACATCGGACTCACAGCCAGACACTGCTGACAAGAGCTCACACCTCGTGTAGCACAGATGTTGGGCTCTGCAACAGAGAGAAAGAAGGCATTAGTTTCTGACCTGTTACCCAGAATCTCAGACCGGCCCCAGCCTTCCTAAATGCCCGTGTCTACAGCTCTCAGGTACACAGAACATGTTTGAAACATAACATAGACATTTAGCAAACACAGACTACTGACATGAAAGAAAATTAAGGTCACAGTGATGACAAGTGATGAGGCTGAACCATGAAAAGAACTGGCTTGAGGGGATTTAGCTCAGTGGTATAAGCACCTGCCTTGCAAGCACATAGTCATGAGTTCAATCCCCGATATCGATAAAAAAAAATGGTTTGATATCTACATTGCAAGTGAAAATATGAGCCCCAGAATAAACACAGTGTGTCCTCTCCAATTCCTTTAGTGATGTTCACAGCCACTACACATAGGACGCAAGGATGGTACACTAACATTAACACATAGCCTAAGTGTTGTGGAAGCAATGAGCAGGTTAACTTCAGTGGTCACATACCACTGGCTTCCCAGGGAATAGCAAATATTCCGAAATCTTCACATTTTTCTCAATACATGTATCTTGGAATTCAAGTATGAAATTCTCCGGGGTGAACCAAGGAAATGTTAGAAAATGTTGCCTGGTATCAGTTAGAAGAATGCGGAACTTGGGAGTTGGAAGAGAGGTCGGTTTGGATTCTTAACGCCCTTGTTACTACATCATAGCCATGGGTCACTCGTCATAGCCATGGGTCACTCGGTCTTCATGAAACAATATATCTATCTCACAAGATCTGTATAGGAAGTTAATGAGGCAAGGGGGGGTACCACGGATGCCATTCAAATGTGAATCTTCATACTAACAAAGGGCAGAGAAAAGGCTGGGGAGCAGGAGGGCAGCAGGGGCAGCCAAGGTAAACAAAACAGCCCTAAAGCCTAGCCAGAAATAAAAAGGCAGGTATTTGCTTGGAAGCTGTCATCATGCCTGCTCCTCCTAGTTTAGTCCTCTGGCCTCAGCCCAACGAAGATCCACTTCCTAAAGCCTTTTTCAATACAAGGAGTTGGCAAAAAAAGATCCATCCTTCCGCGTGACCCCTGTTATCCTGACAGTTCCTTTCTCCAATTTCCCAAAGGGACTCCTTTGACCCTGCTGTTAAGACCAGCAAATCTTCCTGGGGAAATCATCCTGTGTTGGAGTTTTCCAATATGTCCAAAACTTCTCAGGTATCCAAATATCTCAGGTGATTTTATTATGGTATGACTGAATTCCCACCATCCCAATACTTGGACAAATACACATTCAGAAAATGACCTAGGGGTTAGCTAGCTGTACCTTTGTTTGATTTCTATTAAATAGGATATTTTATAACTATGTAAGAATAAAAGTCAACTGTAGAAAACCAATGACAGCGGAAATGATTCTTGATGAGAGCAATGTCTGAGTATCATCCAACAAAAACACCAGGGATTCTGTCTCATAGAAAAAGTAGCCCCTGAAAATTAAAGTTAATTACTTTACAGAACATTAACTAGTTTTGAATACATTAGCTAATTTATTTCTGTATTTCTTTATTTAGCCAATTACAAATCTTCTTTCCTTGCATCCATTTCCAAACTAATCCCAGCATCTTACTGGTTCCCCCATTAACCAACTGAATCGAATCTTTGACACACATGTACTTTTATATTTGTATAGAAATCATATTTTTAACTCTTTGAATTTTAAGGAGTTAGGGATATAGCTCAGAGGTAGAATGCATGCATAGCATGCTCAAGGCTCTGGGTTCAATCCCCAGCATGAAAGAAGGGAGCAAAGGAAGGAAAAGAAGAAAATTACAGTTTCACAGAAAGTATTTCAGGGTTGAAGGATCTAACAAAAAAAGGTATACATGTAATTTAGCAGAGTATGTACTCTTAGGTGACTTATTTAACTCCTTTCAGTCTCATTTTCTTCAACTGTAGTATTCCTACCATACTATAATTATTTATGTAGTATCTGCCTTAACAGAGCTACCACCCAATATATTTAAGTCCCTCGCCAACTGCTCTGCCCTCCCAGACCAGCCCTGGTTCTTATTCAAAGGAGATGGTCAGTAACTATTTATTGGAGCCAATAGAAAGATAGTGAACTAGATGAATTTTGCTTTGTTTTTAAACAACCATATCCATTTCTCAAAATTATACATAGAATTCTAATATAAAATGCATAAATGAGTTCCTCAATTTCAATTTTCGTGGCTTTCTCCAAAACACTACTTTACATTGGAATCCTTGAAACACCTCCTCAAAGCTCCAGGTTGCCTCAGAACCTTGAGTCTCTCTAAAGATCTTTTCAATTCTAAAATATCATAAATGGAACCATAATGGAATGCTGTGATAAACCCACGAGTTGGCAGGTGTGGTGGCGCACTCCTGTAATACCAGCACTTGGAAGGCTGAGATAAGAGGATCCTTGCAAGTTCAAGACCAGCCACAAAGTGAGCCCAAGGCCACTTCATACTGAACTTCATACTGAGACCCTGTCTCATGGTTATAGCCTCTCTTTACTGCCCTGTCAGAACAGTTCTGAGTGGAGTTTCCATGGGGATGGTCATCCATGGGGGTACTGCTGGACAAAATCCCATTGGTGTTCATTAGGAAGAAGAGAAGTACAGGTGACCACGAAAGAGTTACAGACAGAAGAGGAACGTGGGAGGTGTGACTACTTTCAAATTGTTTTTGAAAACTTTTCCCAGTCTATCCTGTATCCAGCGATTCATTCTTAAATTAGCATTTTCCTCAGTCCCTGACTTGTAGCCACAATAGAAAACTTGCAGATGTTTAAAAAACATCAGGCCCCTCCCAGGGTAAAAAGGGCCCCCTTCCCCAGCAGATGAGCTGTGCTGCTGAGATCTATATTTTAGAAAGTCAGCTTGGGAGTCATGGTGACCCATTCCCCTTTATCCCTCCTTTTTAATGAATCACAGGTTGATTTCGTGAGAAGCAGTGAATTCTCCCCTCCCCCTATAATACCCCCAACCAAGTCCCGCCAAGGGGAGTTTCCCTGGAACCCAGTGGCTGAAAATGACTGACTCAGAAGTCTCCAAATTGGGCCCAGGCTGACACAGTGAGTTGCTTCTCTGAAGCTGCCCCTCCCTCCTGAATTTGTGCGGGAGCCTGGGACTCTGTTTCCAGTCATTCATGAAGCTGGTGCTCTGCTCAGCCTCTGAGAGGCTCAGATCTCTTGCTGGAGAAGAGGAGATCTCACCAGCATGTCACTGAAAAGCATGAGAAAATCCTACAGTCCCTTTTCTCTGACAGTTTGCTAGACCAGCAAAACAAGGTGAACGGGCCTGGTCTTTACAGGGTAGTTACAAGGATGAAATGATGCAAGCTCTAAAATATTCTTGAACCCAACAGCTGGCACACAGAAAGTGTTTAGTAAATTTTGCTGCTATAATTGCTATTTTTTGTAGCTGCTGTTTTTGTCCTTAATTTTAAATTGTTTAGGACAAGTGAGGGTTTTAATTTTCATAGTATTTGTTCAAGACACCATTTTGTAGAACACTAAGCACAAAGCTAAATATGCCCTGAACGGGGTCAATAAATATGGAAGCATAGAGACATATCTATCAGACTAAGGTAAGATGACCCATTGTCCAAACTGGCTTCTAAATGGGGTCAGGAATATTAGGTTCAAAAATCCAATCTAGAAGCAGGATGTGGTGGCTCATACACTCAGGAGGCTAAGACAAGAGAACCGTTGAGAGTTCTGAGAGTTTGACACCAGCCTGGGCTACAAAGTGAGTTCAAAGCCAGCCTGAACTGTATGGCAAAATTCTGTCTAAAAAACAAAAGCAAACAAACAAAAATTTAATCTAGGGGTCAGGTGTAGTGGTGCATGCCTATAATCCCAGCACTCTGGAGATTGAGGCAAGAGGATTGCCATGAGTTTGAGGCCAACCTGGTGTACACAGTGAGTTCAAGGCCAGCCTGAATTACTCAGTAAGACCCTATCTCAAAAAAAAAAAAAAATCCAATCTAGGCAGGAGGGACAAGAAAAGAAGTCCAACAGAAAAAAAGAAACAAAGCCAGCCAAGAAGTATGCCTGGAAAGTAGAAGTAGAAGGCTGTGGTTTGGCACATCAGAATGATTCAGAGTCAGAAGAAGACAAAGGCTGGGAAAAACAGAGGGGAAAAAAGGAAACATAAAAAGGGAGTTGGCACCAGGGGAAGTCATACTGCGTCAGTGTAGGCTATTTTGAGGACAGGCCGTTCAATGAGACGGGATGTCAGAGCACAGGAGCCAGCCACTCTGATGAGGACAGGGGCTTTCAGGAAAGACTATCCTAATTAGAGTACGTGGTATTCACTGGGAAACAAGGAGGTTTGTGCTGCAATACTCGGTATCTCTCTTACTCCCTGCCAGAGGGGACTCCTGGGTTGGATCCTCTGACCTTTGGCCACTCCCCAGTTAGGTCCACAGGGACACTGGGTGACTCTGTGTCCAATCTCTCATCGCAGTCACCTGGTTGCACAAGTCATCAAAGCACAAATGTCTCATGCCAATTGCCCTATGTATACACAAGAGGTTTCTCTACCTCAAAGTTGTAGAGAAATTTTACTGTACTTTTGTTTCTTTCTTAAAGGTAGTCAGAGCTCAGTAACCAAGGAAGGGGAAGGAAAGAAAAGGTAGTTTAAGGCAACACACACCTCTGTGCTCTGAGAAAAAGTTCCAGGATACACTCCAAAAGAGCAATAAGAAATTCAAGTAACCAAATTCCTCAAATCTAAGACTAAGGATTTAAGATGTATCTGATTTCAGGGATTTTCAGGCTTTTAAAAGTGCATCAGGATCAATTAAATACCATATTTAACACTGGGAAACATTTTTGTACAGTTTTCCTCTACCAATATTAAAGAGTGTTACAGTGGAATTATATTCCCCAAAAAGGTATGTTGTTGACGTAACACCCCAGTACCTACAGGAATGTGGCCTTATTTGGAACTAAGTTCTTTGCCGAGGTTATCAAGATGAGGTCATCAGGGTAAGCAGT